TTAGTTTTTAGTTTACACCAGATGTAACTGGACAACTGTCTTCCGAACGGTTTCAAAAGACTGATTAGTCCACAAAACATTCTACCAAAAGTTTTCAGGATCATCACCTTTATTGATGCAAGAGGGGCTTGCAGTACCTTTGATGTTGTCCTTGGATCTTTTGTGACTTCCTGGATGAGTCATCCCTGTGCTCTTTGAGGAATTTTGGAAGGTCGGTCACTTTTAGGAAGGTTCACTACTGTCCTGAGTTGTTTCCATTTGGAGATAATGGCTCTCACTGTGGTTTTTTGGTGTCCAAAGCCTTGTTCAGACTGTCAGTCCAAATTTTTTGTGCATATCTGATTGGAATCAGATCATGTTTAGTTTCTTTTTACCACTTTTTCCAAACCTGTTTCAAGCTCAGGGGTGCCACTATGGTTTCTGGGCCCCTTGAAAAGCATATTGACTGTGACATATTAACCTCTATGCACACAGAAAATAGCGTGCAAGTACCGAATTGAGTTCTTTCACCTCTTCTTTCACTGGAATGGTTTAAAATCGTTTGAGTGTGTAAATTGGCAAGACAAAACACTTACAAATGATAAACGTTAACTCTATGATGGTTATATTTTGCAATTAATCCATGAATCACATGCATGCAGAACTGTGGGGCCTGGTCCATACAGATCAACTATGATCCGTTTAACCCCTAATTTTTAGCATAGGCATACCAAAGCAATGTCACTGCCATAGAAACCAATGCAAATATTCAGTAAAACGAAGGAGTGCCACGGGATACACAAAACAGATCTTCACAGTTGTGATACACAGTGTGGACAGTCAATCATTTAGATCAGATTCCACACACACACAAATATTTGTGTTTTTTTTATGTATTGATAATTGTTTATGTATTGATTAATATTTGTTTTTTTTATGGTTTTTTTATGCATTTCTCAACAAAAGGCAAAGGCATAGAGTGACATCTGTATCCTGTACAAACATAGCCTTCAAACAAAGATTTATTATATGGAACTGAAAAGGCAAATACTCCAACAAGAAGTTGAAATTGATGGTCTGAGGAAGACAAAACTTACACTGGAGATAGAGTTGCTTCAAAAGGAACTTAGAGTAAGTGCTGATACACAATTTCACAGAGTAAGACTGCTGACCAAACATAACAATATCTGTTATTGCAGGTAAAAGATGACTGAATGCTGTGAAATGAAAATGAAAAGTGAAATAAAATACAAATGGGCCTAAGCATGTTTGTCTTGTCTTTTATTGAAGAACAATAATCAAAAATAGTGTTTCATAGTGTTAGTGTTGCCCAAATGTCATTGTAACAAGTTTGTGGACCTGGGTTTGGATCAGGGAATGGCGTCATGAAATACTGCCTGCAAGCATAGCCCCATCCCCAAGCAGGGTCCCATCATAATCACCTGTGTAATAGTAAAATGCAGTTCTGTTAGGCCCAGCATAAGCGTATGTAATACACTGTGCTTGACATTATTATTTTCTCTTAATGTGCATAAATGTGACTCTCTGAAGATTCTTGAGTCATGCACATGTTTGTGATATGGCACATAGAGTCACACACCATCAAAGAGATTGTAGTCAACTGCATGTTGCTCCTTTTTGCTTAATATACTAATACTAGTCTGAAATATTAGAGTGCTTAATATTAGATTACCTGCACATTTATACTGTGAACACCCTTTCTGTTCACAAAATCCCCTTCATTTGGGCCTAGTGGGGCTTTAATAGGAATGTGTGTGCAGTCTCTGGCACCAATCATGTTAGGGAAGCCTGGGGGACACATAAGTATTGCTTATTGGCATTATCATGATTGCATGATCTTCAAAAACAATTATAATGTACCTGCAAAACCTGGGGTCTTAAGTGGCTTGGAAATACCACAGAACCCCCCAAGAAATGTTTGAGCACCAGATACACTTTGCGAATGGCATGACAGACAGCACTTTTAACCAAGTTCTCTGCATCTCCAATAGTGAATTTCGGTGCATTCTCACAAAGAATTTCAGAGCAATGCACATAGTCTGTGCTGTTGTTAAAGCCCGACTCTGATGAGTTAAATTTTAATATGAGGGTAAATGATACCCTCACAAGAAAAATGGTATCTTTCCAAAAGCAAACTATTGTGCTGTGCTAAAGGATCCAGTCTATCCCGCATTATGCTTTGAATTCGGAAAGCTCTTCTATCCTTGCACCTTCTGCAACAGGTTGCTCTTGTAAAAATGGACATGTCTGCGACAGATTTCCTGCATCACCTCTGCTTATAAAGCCAAACACGTAATACTAATGTGCATGATGTCACTGTTTTCACAAATTTGCATTTTTGTAGTTTACATGGCTACGTTTTTGTTTTGGTTTTTTACTTGCACTTTGAAATACGTTTTCAAACAGTTGCATTTTCTGGCCCCCAAAACACTGTAAATAAATGGTCAAAACTCATTAAAAGTTTTCAGTTTTTAGTTGTAAAGGGTGTTGTGTAAACACCCCCTCAACCCCATTATTATGAATGTAGTATCACAGATTTGAAAATTAGTAACTACAGGGCAGTGGCGTAGCAACTCAACCCCGGGCCCATATGCAAAAAAATATGGCCTTCACTGTTCCATCTCTCTACTACTGCATTTATGGTAATTGTAGAAAGCGAGACGACAAAAACAGTTTCCTTTATGTTTAGCCTCTGGTTGTTAGTTAACTTGTTCCCCAATTTCTGATTAGGTGGGCATGCATGAGAACTCTTTAGACTTGTAACCAAACCATAATCCATACCAACAAATGACAATAGTTTATTTAACCTTAACACCACTTAAACTCCGCGGACCCGGATACGGGTCCAAAATCGCGTTAAAAATGTTTATGCTTCATTTACATAGCCTTCCTTATGATATGAATATTAAACTTAAACTCCGCGGACCCGGATACGGGTCCAAAATCGCGTTAAAAATGTTTATGCTTCATTTACATAGCCTTCCTTATGATATGAATATAAGGTATGATATGAAGTGTGCGCTGCATACACAAGCATTTTTGATGATCGTTTCTGTCCAGTCTGCTCGTTTTATTGCGTTTAACCACAGCTCCAAATTGGAGCCTGTACTTCATAGATTCTGACACTCAACACACATTAAGATGACATTTTAAGCTCCTTATGTAGCCGACTCTGTGCTGGTTTGAATTGGCCGCCTCCAGCTAATACTGTGACGTAATTGTGACGTCGGCACTAAAAGGTATTGAGACCCTCACAGAAACCTCTCCTACCTCGCTCTTGTCAGAAACTGAGAAACAAAATCTTTGCAACACCGTAAATAATGATAGCGGCATTAACATGCACTTTCATGTTATTTAATATGAACATCATTTTAATTTTATATGCCGAGTCTGGTAATCCCAGGAGAGTACCTAGACACATAATTGTACATTTAAATGCAGAAGGCTAAACACAATCATAACTGTTGGTATTCTTGATCGTCAATAACCTTCATAGTCATGAACACATTTTTAAAACACTTATAATATTTTAAAGCCTTTATTATTTCTCAACTCTACAGCTGTGCAGTAAAATTCACTTTAAAGATTCACTTTTCATTTATGAAGATGACATGAAAAAATGTGCCAAAAATGTATCTGGGGGAAACAAAGACTTTTAAGATGAACTTGACATGGAATTAGCATTATAACCAGTAGATGACAGCAGACCCATTCGAAAGTTAACCAAATAAAACCAAAAAAAAAAAAAACATGGTTACTATACAGTATACCGCACTAATGAGATTACATCTAAATTTGGTAACGTTAATTTGAATTGTAATTTTTGTGATTATTACTACTGTTGTGATGTCAGTACTGAGCCAATTGATCATCTTTTCCTCAAATGCCTCCGTGTCAAAGAATTTTGTTCTGACTTCCTTGCTTCAAAATCCAATTTAGACATTGATTTAACCATGTGTGATATAATTTGTTATTTTTCTCATTGTAATCATAACATAGAATATATAGGAAATGTTCTTATTTTATTGGCTAAATGTTATATTCATAAATGCAAATTTTCCTCAACATTACCCAATTTAAATAATTTTCTTTGTGACTTTACCTACTTAATTACGACACTAAAAAAGTCAACAACAACAAAAAGTGTAAAACTTGTGAAACTGTATAATGATCTGTTGAATGGAATTTGATGCATTACCTAGTTACTTTGTTTCTTGTTTTACGGTATTTTTATTTATTTTTTATTATTTTTTGTTATATATTTTATATTCTTTATTGTCTTCCTGTTATTTACATTATTTATGCTGTCATCAACAGTTGTATTTAAATGTTGAAGTTTGTTTATATTTGCAAAAAAACAAACAAACAAACAAAAAACAACCACTACTGACATGTTTGTTTTCTGTTTTATGACGCGCGGTGGCACCAAAGTCCAACAAATGTTCTCGCGCGCACTACTACTACTACTACTACTACTACTGCTACTACTAGACAGTTTGCCTAAAATGGCATATTCACCGAAATTTGCGCAGTAAGACCACTTTTTGTATGCATACATATCTGTAAATATATTTACCTGCACATTTACATAAACTGCCAACGTGAGGAATCAACCATTAAAAACACCGTTTTTAAGATGTTGCATCTAGTTTTATATTACTTATTGCTTCTCTAATACAATTCTCGTTCAAAGATTTATGCACTCGATCTGTTGACCTGGATGAAAGACATTGGGCATCCTGCTGATGTGGAAGCAGTCAAAGTGAGACTGGTCGCGGTCTGTCTGCAACATCTCATATGTTATAATCTATTGCTCGACCCTATCAGACTTGGCATTGTTATTCCATCGTTACTAATGCCTGGGAGTGATATTAAAATGATTTGCGGCATGAACATGACCTCCATCTGTATGACTGCTGAGTAAACTGAGCCCTGCCCACCGCGCCGTAGTGAAGCTGCTGAGCGGAGCAGACGGTGAGACGAAGGACGCGCGTAATCTTTCGGTTTCGGCGCACATTACGGATTCGTGGCACATACTGCAGATTATAGCCCCGAATGCACCGATGAAGAAATGGCAGCGGAATCGACCCGGAGATTTACGAAAAGCCTCCTGAAGCCGGGAAGCGCAGCTGAGATTCGGCAAACCGCATCTAACGCTGTAAGGAATGCTACTGTAACGGTAAGACCGAGCGGACAAGGACAGAGCGCGGTCGGGCTTATTTTGATGCTGTTCGTTGGACGGACAACACAACTGTGTAAAGAGAATCGCACGGTGTCTAGTTCCCCTATAGAGGAAAAGATCTAGTTTGTCAAGCATTGTATTTCGCATGCTGTGGTCTTATGCGAGACTTATTCCGCGGCGAACGATTATGGAAGTTGTAAATGGACAAGGTTGGTGTTTGTGAATGATTGGGCCTCTGTTAGCGGCTTGTGTCTTATTTTGAATTTAGAACTATTCTTCAAAAAAAATAAACTCATTCGAATGTCTCATTTTCGCGGGAAATGAGCTTTGCATGCTTAGTGACGTATGTCGTTCGTAGTAAAAAATCTCCGCAGAGGAATGTAGCGCAGTGGCTCCAGCCCTGGTTCCCCCTCCTCAACCCCGCACATTTTGCCCGTCTCCTTCATCTGACACACCCACTTAAGGTCTCGGAGTTGATGAACTGATCAGTTGAATCCCGAATCAGGTGCGTTTGATTAAGATGAAATCTGAAGTGTGCAGTGGCGCTCTGGGAGCTTCAGGACCGAGTTCGGGAACCACTGCTGATAGAGAATGTGCTCCGCTGTTGCTATTGGATACAGTGACATGGTTCGATGATACGACTACAGTAGCCTGTTATTGATTTGTGGTAGTTCGAGCCTCATTCAGTAATGCATTTCTACAACTTTTAGGAGCATGTGATTGCAGTTACAACATTTCAACGCTACTGCTTTACTTGTTTCGGTTACACTTTATTTTAAGGTGTCCTTGTTACAGTGTAATTATACATTTACGTACTGAGTAATATTAATTAACTACATGTACTTACTATAGGGTTAGGATTACTTAGGGTTACTTGCATGTAATTATGCATAATTAATTGTTAGCCTATTAGAGTGCTATTTTTCCTACAGATTCATGCTGTAGGAAAAAAAAAACGTTAACATCATGATAGTATAATACTGCATTTTTGCTATTACCGCCACATATTACTAACAAAGCATAAGTTTTTGATGGAATGCGATCGTGTTGCAATGTCACCCTTAAATGTCAACATTCAAAACTAGTGTGGCCTTTTTTTTATTTTGTAATAGTATTGTAAAAAAAAATTCCGTAAAATGTACGGTAAAAAACCGGCAGCTGTGGTTGCTGGAATTTCACCGTAAAAAATACGGTAGCAACGTTTTAGGTTTTACGGTTTTAACTTAAATTTACAGTTAAATACCGTAATTTCATTAACTGATATAATGTTAATATACCAAACTATTGAAGTACTGAAATCTGTTTTGTAGCTTTGTAATACACTGATAACCATCAAATGCAGGTGGTGATGAGAAAATCACATGATGAACCAAAGCCCATCACAAGCAGCTTTTAAATAATAACTGTCTTAAGGTTACACTTGAATCAACTACAAAACACATGCATGGATAATGAATTGTAGCCATTTTATGTGAAAAATTACCTGAGTGACAGAGTAAAAGGTAGTGATCGTATGAAAGAGAGAAAGTACAGATTTTAAAAGTCACATGGATGAGAGGAAGAGAGATGCCATGTAGGACTTGAGAATGGCCTTAACAATGGCTCTTACTAGGCAACTAATGATTCGGTTGCCCAGGAAGGAAGAGCTCAGGAGAATTCAAGAGCATAGCTTGAGCATATACCTAAAACCAAATCTGAGACATTAAAACTGGCCAATTAGCAAATTACAGCTGTTCCAACTGCACTAAAGTTAAACATATCAGACAATAGACTGAGATGTTCACTATCAGCACCTTTGTGACTTAGGTAATTCTGAACGGTCCTTTTGGTAAGGATGAGGGGTTTGTCGAATGTCTTTGTTAATGTTCAACTCTACAGTATAGGATTTCAATAATTTGTGGAATATTTATGAGAAGTTTGACTTCAAATGACACTGTCTGGCACACTGTGTTGCTCTGTCCATTGTATTGTTTTCATTGAATAAGATGAGTAAAGTTGTCACAGTCACAAGCTATCAAATGAAGTAAGAGAAGTAAGAGATTGTTTTGCATAAAAATCAAAGATGTTTTTTTTGTGTGTGTGTGTTATGCTGTGTTCTTGAAGGAATAGAAAAGAAACTGAGAACTTAGTAGATCAGTGGTACCCGACCATTTTGCATGTCTCCTTAATCAAACACATTTGTTTTCAACTCATCAGCAAAACATCTGGACTGGTCTCACTGAACTTGTGTAAATATTATATTTAGAATTTGAAGTTTGAGTTATAATGAATGAGCTCCCACTGACCTATAGCCTGGACTCCAGACCTATAAACATACAATGCTGAGCTGCTACTGCTGCACAATCTATTTCTTTAGCCTTTAACCATTGCTGCTATTGCCGCTTCTTCAGGAGTCAGTAAAACAGACAATTTCTGTGTATTTCATGAAAAGGCAAAGAAAACCTATCCACAGTTGTCCAGAATGCACAGGCTGTCACTGTTGTGTGTCTGTAGATGAATGGGTGTTGATACGTGTGCAGTTGATGTAGCATATCATCATTATCATCGTTATCTTCACCATTTATATCCATTTTCCTTCTCCTCCTTGTTCCCCTATTGTGAAAAAGACCAGAACAGCATGAATTCCGTGGGCTAAAGAGTATTTAGTGCCAGTTTGACTGGTTTAGTGATGGTTGGATCAGCATAGTCATCCTGTTCTTCAGCAAAACAGATAGCCTCATTGTAAAGAATAGGCAAAAAATGAGATTACAGTAAGGCACTTACTATGGACGTTAGTATGGCCAATTTGGAAACAATGGAATTCATTTTAATAGTAATCAGCATAGTCACAAATGCTGTCAATTTATCTTGTATTAAACCTGAAATAAGGGGGTGTGATATTGACAAAAATATCATCTCTATATTAGACTATATTTTGCTGAGTGTGTTTTTTGTTGGTACCTTGGCTAGTTTAGGCCTGTCATGGACAGCTGACTCCCAAAGCTTTTCATATTCATCATATATTCTTCACATCTTTGCTGTAGGCTAGTTAGTTTCCAACAGTGACAGAAATGAACTTTTCCCTTAAGGTGCCCCATTAAATCGATTTCCTGCGGCATTTTTACATTTATATGCATGGGCAATTTTTTTCTAACCTTATTAGATGCATCATCTTTTGTCAAATTCTTACATTTAATCAATAAATTCAGTTAGAATAATAAGATACTCTAGGGCTGGTACCAATCAAATGAAACTAATATCAACAGAATTCATTTTTGCACTGCAGGGGTGGCTTAGAATTTTTTTAATGCAGCTCAGAGGTGGCATGGATGCATTTAGTGCAATTATAATTGCATAAACGAATAAGGTTATTGGATTGATATTTTATTTTTATTTTTTAATATTAAAATAAATTATTTTAAAGGTATACTATGTAAATTTTGGCCCTCTAGCAGTTAAAAACTGAAACGGCTGGATGTTTTTTTTTTTTTCACTTTTTTTTTTTTGCCATAAAAAGTTACATAGTGTAGCTTAAATATGTGTAGCTGCCAGTAGTTAGCAAGATTTTTCCTAGATTGCTAGTTAAGTAGATTGGACGTATGCATATTTCGAATGCATCCACAGTCTTTATGAATGGGTCATTGAATCTTTAATTCAAACAATTCAATAAACACACAGCTGTGTGTTAAATGGATTGTTTGAATCTACTGGATCTACTTTGGATTTGTTTGGAACTGTTTTCGTTGGTGAAATGGAGCAAAAACAGACAATATTGTGTTTAAAATGTAAGTCAGTTAATATTAACTTATTGTTTATTAAACTGTTGTATAAAACCAATATCCAGCCCTCTACGCACACCTTGGCAATATAATCGTCATGCATTGGCTAGTAATTTTTTTAGCTTACTTGCCAGACTGATATACTATACTATTTTACACACAGTCACACACACCTACATACATACAGTACAGACATACATGTCAATTTCATTTAATTGATTCAACACTCTTTTTGATTTTAACAAAATAACATTTGATTTTTATTGTATTTAACTGTTCTTGCATTAAACATGTGGCAACAGTGACTCTTTGTTCGAAATGATGGTCACTCACAAAACAACAACAGGAGCAACAAAAATAAGCCATTTCTGAACAAATTATATAAATACTAAGAAGATATATTAAGTATAGCCCTACTGCTTAGTGTCACATCTGCAGTCCCCACTGCAGGCTGTTAACAGTTTTCAGGTCATGTGATAAGTCAGAGAGCACACAGTGAGCTTGTATTTAAGGCATTGTTTTGGGAATGGAGACCAATAGAGCAGATAGCTGTGGGAATGAAAATGTTCCCTCTCTACCATAACATTTGCAGGGAGTCTAAATCTTTTGTCTCCAATGCTGTATCTACATTTTGTTTGTTTCTTTCATTTCTCAGAATGTAGTTGATTTTCAAGGCTTGTTAATCTTGTTACATCCTCTAGTTCATCGCTTTATACATTAACTTTATTCCTTTTTTCACTTTTCATAAGGGGAAGACAAAGTCTGGTAGTTTGATTTGCACTCAGAAGTCTCAAAGAAACCGCTTACTCTTCCCCCACTCATGTTGGGCAGTGGCGTAATGAGAGAGAGGTCATCCTGGGTCACACCCGGGGCGGGGGAATTTCTCTAATTGCTCACTGCTAGTTTACTGCAACTGCATTGAGTTTCTCAGTAAATCACATTATATTCTTTGCAAGCAGATAATTGTGCTCTCATATTGAAAAAGCAGCAGCTCCACCTATGCTATGCATACATATGGTGGGTATAGAAAAGAATCAGCCCCTTTTCAAATAATCATATTCTGTTGCTTTGCAACCTGAAATGAAGACAGACACAGTTTTTGTTTTATCCAGCTGTATTTACTCAATGCAACTTATAACATCCAAATGAAAGATATAACACCAACATGTCAGAAAAAAATGTAAAAAAAAAAACAAAAACAGAATCACTGAGAATAAGGATCACCCCCTCCTAAAAATG